AACCCTTCACATGTATATATTTTTTTTTAAAAAGACAACCTAAGGTATTAAACTTGGGGTATTTTGACTCTTTTTAAATTAAAAAAAAATTAAAATAATTGGTGATTGTTTTGACACACATAGCAATTTAAGAATACATGTACTGAGAACTTTATGGGTTACTGCCAAAGAACACCCCAATATGTGTTCAGCAACATCTCCTGAGTACAATGATACCACCCATGTAAACGTGTGTTGGGTTCTCTGGGGGATAAAAGACCTTATTTGGAGGGTGCTCATTCCAGTTTTCCAACTTGGAATTTTAACAGCTGGTCATCATGAACCCATGTCCTACTTGGAACATTTTTGAAGCTGGCCAATGTAATTTACCCCCATCAAACAAAATGTTTTTGAAAAGTAGACACCCTAGGGTATTTCAAATGGTGGTGTTTTAACACTTTCCATGCACTAATTCTACCACCAGTCTTTGTCAAACTTTTGGGTAGTCTTTTTTTTATTCTCTCAGATTGTACTTTAGGCATGGATTCTCAATTCATGTTATCTGTTACTGACAAAGAACACCACAATATGTGTTCATCAACATCTCCAGAGTACAACAGTGCCCCCAATGTACCGGTTTGATGAGTTTTTGCAAACTTACAGTGATCAAATATAGGGCTTTCCCCTTTTCCATGTCTGCACATTGAAATTTGCCAGATTGGTTTGCTGGGCCTATGTTGCCTTTGATAACGTATAGCAGCACAGGAGTGAAAATTAACCCCATCGTGGCATGCCATTTGTAAAAGTATATAACCCATGGTATTCAAAATGAGGTATGTCCAGTCTTTTGTAGTAGCCACTTAGCAGGGCCGGTGCAAGGATTTCTGCCACTTTAGGCAAAGATCAATTTTGCAGCCCCTTATGTCACTCACTCACTGACATACACACACTGGCAGACACACACACTCACTGACAGACACACAAACACACACTCAGTGCCAGGCACACTTCACTGACAGACACACGGCACACTTCACAGACAGAAACACAAACTCACTGACAGATACACATACACACAGACACTAACATACATACACTAACTCATTGATAGACATACACTGACAGACAGACACACACATACACAGAGACATTTACTGACATACATACACTAACTCACTGACCGTTAAACACTCACCTCTCTGGGGTCCAGTGTGGGGCAGCTCCTCAATCTTCCCGCCCGCTGTTTAGTATGCCGGGGCCGGAATGACATCATATTCTGGCTCCCGGCATCACAGAGAGTGCGCGAGGGAGGAGTGAGAGGCTGCTAGAACAGCCTCCCTCGCCGCATGCCTGCTCCGTTCCCCTCTCCTCGCCCCTCTCACCGGCAGATCAAAGGTAAGCAGGTGCCTGCTCTGCCTTACCAACTCTGCATCGGAGGAGCCCTGAGGTGGCCACATGGCCACCTCCTGCCCCCCCATGACAGGGCTCCGCTTGGCGCCCCCACACACGCACACACACACACACACTTTTATTTCCTATATATGTATAATATATTATAATTAAAGCATTTTATAATATATTATACATATATATGATTTCATTATAAGTGTATTTTGAGATATATGTGTATTTATCTCAAAGTACACTTATAATGAAATCATATATATGCATTATATATGTATAATATATTATAAAATGATTTTTTATATATATACGTCTAATATATATATATATATACATTTTTTTTATTTTTAAAAATTATTTTTTAGCAGCTTGGGAACTGTCTGACAGCTCAGACAGTCCCCCTGCTGGCGATGTGATCATGGTGATCACATGGCCCTTGAGGGCCCGAGCTGCTGCAGGGACACTGCCGGGGTCTCTGGCAGTCCCCCCTGACTGTGATCGCCGCGGATGGCCGGTCCAGGTAAGTCCAGGGCTCCTATTTGCTGCGGTCGTACTAGGTAAGTCCGTGGTCCTTAAAACCTTTTTTTTGTCAGACGTAAATAGCATGTCCATGGTCGTTAAGGGTATATACATAGAACTGCCGTTTGGAAGTTCCTCTGTTCTGCTTCCGGTTCACAAAGCACTGACGTCATTTCCACCCGCCGGCTGTCCGTACGAACACAGCCATCCAAATGACTTTCATAGAATTTGTGAGTATTAAAAAACGAACGCAGACATCGCACGAACAGGCCTTCTGGCAACATACATTCTACTAACTGTAAGTAGTTCATTTACGCGAACACCTTGAATTTCGTATGTTTGTCCCATACAATTAATTTTGTGGTTTTCCCCCCGTTCGGTTAAATCACCATGGTATTTTGTACACTATCGCATGACAATTCATATCAATTCAGTTCTCCGTTCGTTCCTCCGTTGCTTTGTTCGTCTGCATTCTACAGACACTTCTTTCGTGTGAGTAAAAGCGTTCGAATGGCATTTCGGGTATTAATTCGTGACGGTTTTCCTAAGCTTATTCAGAATGATCATGTCAATACTGTTCGTGCCAAAATTCACAAAACACCTATTTGTTTAAAGGTTCCTGTTCGTGTGTTTTTCTTTCCCAGGTATAGAATTTGTTTGCCTTCTGTACAACACAATGACCGTTCACTGGGTTTCAGACATTACCATTGAAATATTATTTAGGTGAATTCTTGTTATACACTAAATAGGATGTCTGTCATCAGTCTCAGGGGAGGATTCACCAATTTCAAAAAATTATAGTTTCTTTTATTAAAATTTACATAATTTCCTGGAGAGGTCTGATAAAGTATGTACATTAATTAACACTTGCAGTGCTCTACACAAAGTGCATGCACACGTAAGGCGCTGCTGCAGGAAATGCAGTGTGCGCATGCATACACACAGCATTTCCCTGTTCGTTGCCTGAATAGCCACACCTGAAGCATCATGGGGCTATGAAATCTTGGCAATATGGATGTAGTGCAGTAAAGTTTTTTGTTTTTTTTAAATCTAAATTTCCTGCATTATTACCCCAGTAAAAGTTGAAATAGTGTTCACTAGGGTGAATTTTTAACAAAATAAACTAGGAACTGTTTCTTCTGTGGAACTGTCAGTTTCCCATTAATCATACCTCATTTAAAACACTATCATATAAACTGAGTTCAAATGTTAGAATCACTTATAAGATAAAATTTAACAATAACGTATACTCGTCTTGCATTAAAAAACCGGGCAACGATCTGGCACTTATGAGCCCCGAGGGCTATACACACATACACGCATTCTATTTTCTATTTTCATACGTAGTCCATACAGTCTGACCATCTGGACACCGACGTGCTCACACTGCACTCTAGTTACGGTAGGCCTTACGATTCTAACTCATTACCCCCCCCACACACACGTTTTGTCCCATGGTATGTCCTCTCACTCACTAACCTTCCCTCTTAGTTATCTGTGGCTGGCTGTCAGGTTCTTAGGTGTCCACTAGTTATTATTCTTCTTCGCCTTAGGTTAGTGGTCCCGCGAGGCCAACACCCATCCTCATACTCGGAGGTACTCGCCCCTCTGGCGATCATAATTAGTCACCTCGCATTGTGGCATAGAGAGGGCCTCACCTGTCACTCCCATTCTATCTTATGTTTAACTGTCACCGAGAGGCTGACATTCCGCCACAACGTTCAGTGACCACATTATCCCCTCGCGCCAACGCACAGATAGAGCCTCTTACGCCGCTTGGCATCTAGCAGGGCCTCACCTGTCACCAAACCTAGTTTTAATTGTTTAGCTTTAGCATTAGCTAGTATGCCAGCACACATTGGTAAAAATACACCCTTGGGGATCTGTCTGTGGCGATGAAGGCAAGAGATTCCAGTCTTAACAAGAATTCAAATATTCCAGTATTCATCTAGATTTGGCTCATTTAGGGATGTCATTGTCTACTAGATAATTTGATATAGCAGTACAAGGATGAGACCCAAATACATATATTTCCCCAACTTGTCACTCACTTTGTTATTCCTATTATACCACATACCATATATATGCCATATCAATTTAGTAGTAATCTTAACAAAGAAACCAAGAACACCGGTGTACTTCCAGCAATTTGTTTCAGGTATTTTATTCCTTACATATATATTTTCAGTTAAACACGTATATTGGGCCTCACTCTGCCTTTTACGTTTACATGTTGTGCATATTTAGGCATTGCATCGGACCCACGTCAGGTCCTCAATACGCTTATGTACTTATAGTGACGGCTTTCCAGATTTTATTCACTAGTGGGGTATACTATTTATTACTTGGTGACCCATTAGGGGGATTACAGCACATTGAGTTCTAGATTACCATATGATGACTAATACCATCTCTTAAATATTGTGTATAATTTTTTTTTTTTTAAAGTGATGTTAAACTTACATTAGGAACGTTTAATATACATAGGCTACCAAACAAACACTTCTACGTCAATTTATACAATGCAATGCAGGTTAAAGCATTAGCAAGTCTACTAAAAGATACGCTAAACTAGTAATACGGTTTCCCACTTGTTTCATACCAAACATCGAGGCATCACTCTGCCTTCATTACGACCAAACGAATACAATTCAAATCCTTAACATCTAGTAGGGACTTGTCTCTGCACGCTTGACCTTCGCAAGGTCCTCCATGTGCATTCAATTATACGTTACACTATTTAATATTACATACATTTCACTATGTTACTTTATGTTTCAAAATGTTCATCAGGTTATTGACTTTCTTTTCAAATAATTTTTATTAAAGTTTTAAAATTTTGTATAACAAGTAGTAATAATACAAACATTGTATTAGGGGTAGGAAAGGAAGGGGGGGCTCTAACCAAGATGGCCGCATAAACTGAGAGCTCCGCTCCACCGGACCCCTTATAGCACCCGATCATCCGCCACGCACATTAAATGGGCCTCAACTGACACCCGAAGGCCCCCCAGACGCCGAGGGGCGCACAACAAGGCCCCCTTGACGGATTTCTGCAGCCACAACCGTGCGCGAGCGGTGAGGCGGGAAGCCCCAAGATGGCACTGACCACCCCGGCGGGCTCCGAGAACGTAGCCCTGGAACGCATTGGGGAGGAACTGCGAACCCTAACTGCCTCCATGGTTACTAAAGTGGACCTGCATAACTTCACCACCACCATACAGGACACGTTGAGGAAGGAGATAGCAGGAATCAGGTCTGAGGTCACCGCCCAGGCAGGCCGCATCCAGGCATTGGAGCAGGCACAGGAAGCGCAGAATAGCAAACTCACGGCGACGGATACAGCAGTGGCCCGACAGGGCGAAATGCTCCTTGCCATGCGACGACATATCGAAGATTTAGACAACCGGGGGCGACACTGCAACGTAAGAATCCGCGGAGTACCCGAGTCTGAAGGTGAAGAAGACGCAGTCCTCACCAAGCTATTCCACACGCTGCTGCAAGCGGCGACCCCCCCAACGCTTCGAATTTGAGAGGGCACATAGAGCGCTGTGACCTAGGTCATTAGAGGAAGGCCCAAGAGATCTAGTGTGCTGCCTACACTCCTTCCCCGTAAAGGAGGCTATCATGCGTAAGGCCCGCGAAAGACCAACATGACCTCTACTACAATTAATAACGGCAGACCTGACTAGATGGGCTCTCCCTCACATAACCTGGCACGGGCGCATAGCAGTGCTCAAAATGAATGTGTTCCCTAGAGTTCTATACCTCATGCAAACCATACCCCTCACACCACCAGCAACATTCTTCTCCTCCCTGAAAACAGCAGTCATACGCTACACATGGCGAGGCGAACGATCCCGATTACGGCACGAAATACTCTGCCTCCCCAGACCCAATGGGGAACTGGCACTGCCGGATTTTAAAAAATATCATCAAGCCACGGTGCTGCAACGCATTCTTGACTGACATACGGAACCCACACACAAGCAATGGGTATCATTAGACAAAGCAATTAACAAAATGACAAATGAAACTATGATCTGGGGGGGGGGGGCAGGGTCCGAGAGACCGAGAAGTGGGAGATGGACCAGTTGCACAAACGCTATGCGGTTGGAAATCGCTAAGGGAACAGTCGCACATCTCGCCAACACCCAGCCCCCTTCTCCCGGTGACGCACAATAGCAGAATAGGTGGAGGATTGCCAGCTAGGGCGTGGAGTTTCCTGGGCGATGGAGACTATATTCCCATACGAAGGGCCCTAAGGGATGGTGGCCTACGGGATCTGGATACGTTGCTGGAGGGTAGAGCACAGAACGTACCAGGGCCGGACTGGCCCACCAGGATACCGGGAAATTTCCCGGTGGGCCGTCGCACCTGGGGCCGGCCCTTTAAGTACTGCAGCCCTGAGCGCTCTGTGAAGAGCGGCCAGGCGGCTGCAGCTTCTCCCCTGTAGCATGGCCGAGCTGCACTCCGGTCCGCGGTGGCCGGCCGGACTGATAGGAAGGCGCACACTGAGTGTGCACTTCCTGTCAGTCCGGCCGGTGACAGGAAACAGAAACTCCTGTTCCGCGCGGAGTTTCTGTTTCCTG